TTTTTAATTTTTTTTTTTTTTGCGTGGACTTTTTTAAATAAAACAACCAAGTAACACTGATGTCCAGTCTAAGCGAAAGTTTTTTGGACCACACAGGACATTGGGTCCTGTGTAATCAATGAACACACAGGACCGAATCAATTTTTGTTGGACCAAAAAACCTAATGTAAAAAAGTGAAACACGTGAAAATGCAGAGTAGTAAGCCTAACACCTTTTCTTTTACAAGGTATTGCTCCCGCATAGTACTGTAGATGTTTCATAGGGTTTTAATCACCTTCATTTACGTATTTGGATTTGTGAGAAATTTTTTACTTATAACAAACATTTACATGACTCCCCATCAAAATAACAATGCTCAAAACTGGACATAGACACATCGGACATTCTGGTACGGTGTAAAAAATGACGCATCGGACCAGAGGCACTGCACACCGGTCAGGTCTGACGGTCCGATGTCTTTTGCATAGACTGGAAGTCAAAGAAATAGTGTTTTATTTATGGTGGAAATTTTTTATACATGCTATTATTGGGGAATTTAAAATGAATATTCATATTTTTCTTGAAAAAGCATTTTAAAAAAATTAGGGTCAGCTACAAAATAGGGTCGGTTCACTGGGTTGTGAAAGTGGAAACAATTTTGCCTAACAACACCACAGCCTAACATTTTGACAAATGTAAATGTACCTTAATGATAGCTGATGATCCATAAGTTAGGATATTCACAGTATGAAAGAGCTGCTGAAATGGCATGGACATTTTAGAGCATCTGTCATATCACCCCCAGTTCCATAACCCTCCTTCCAAGTTTCCAGATAGCAGATATTAAGGGTTCCAGATCCTGTTCCATCTCAACTTCATGTTCAATGTCCACAATATTAGGGATACCTATTCAAATAATATACATGTACTACTAAATCTATATAGCTGAGATTTCTTCCCTATCACTGCATATATGTAAATGTAGATGCAGTACATACAAAATGAGTGTTTTATTTTATTTTCATATTGTGTGGTGTACATGATTATGATTGAGTTTCACATACTCTATAATATGTATTGATGCTTTTAGCTTTCATGAACTCAAAAGAAAATTCAATTAAAAAAAATGATTATAGTCAAAATTGCAATTCAGACACTCCACCATCAACATAACTTGGAAATAAATAAGGAAAGAAATAATCTTAATAAAAAGAAAAGTCCTGTTTTAGGCCAAAGAATTTAGTGGTAAGTATTATTTTGTGTTGTAGTGTAGTGAATTTTTTATCTAGTATGTTTTGGAAGAAAATATTGTCTAGACAGTGTCCAACACCTTGCATCTGGTTACCTTCAAATTTCATTGAGTTATAACTGTGTCTCATATATGACTTGACATTTATAATAAATTATTGTTTCTTTTAATATATTTTCTATGTTTGCTAAATTTAAAAGCATCAATACATACATGTAGACATGATAGAGTACATGAAACTTGAAACGTTTTTCCAAAATCAAGCGCACCTGAATAACATCAATAAATTTTTGAATTTTTATTGATTCACCAACATTCTGGAATGCAATCATGTCACACAATATAAAAATAAATTACAAAACAGAATTGTATATATATCATGTAAATTACCCCCTCATGTGTGCACTGGTAACCAGTGCTATTGTTTTTATTATAATATAGTGTAGTGCTCTTTATCCCTTTTTCAAATCTATATTGTAAACAACAACTAAGGAAGAATATAACAATTTTTAATCTCAAAATCTCTGTTTTTTTGTTTTGTTTTTTTTTAAAACTTTAACATGAATCGTCACTAATTTATAATGTTGTGTGTTCACTCATGCCCCCAATTCAGAAAAAAGTACCCAGTTCACTCATATATATATATATATATATATATATATATATATATATATATATCTTATCTAATACCGGTATTTTGCTGAGCCACAATCACTTTTACTGAATTTCTAAGGTAGTGTTAGTTAAATGCTGTCAAATACTAGAGACAAACCTGGGCAGATCGTTTTTGCTAGGCTAGAGTTGTCATGCGTTTGTGATTCGAATGATGGGTTTAATCTTTGCACAGTAATTTTCAGTCAGACGCAGCTCACCATCGCCTTTTTTTGAGTCAACGAAGCCTTGCTGTACCGCTGAATAGATTTGGTTGATGAAAATCCTCGTTTTCTCCGCATTTCATTCTTTTCGAAGCATCCGCTTTGTTTACATTACCGAAAAGTAAGATAAGTCGTAAAATTACCTCGACTTGTTGTTAGTTTGAATCCAATGAAATTTTAGTCACATTTTATATGATTTTATATCAAGTATATCTTTAAAATAAGTTGCATTGTAAATTTTTTTCCCAACTCTACTAAAGAGATGAACGACATACGATTCATTTACGTCATTCGGAGTTGCGCGGTGGATTCAAAATCGTCACTACCATACGTCCTTAAAAAACTGGTTTTTAAACACAGTTTTTAAAATGAGAATTAAAAGGTTTCGTAAAATAATGTACTTGTTTAGTAGATAAAACTCCATTTTGCGTTGTTTAGGAATGTGGTCACATGATCAGTTTTTGATGTAATCTCATAAATATTCATGACGTGTGTCACTTGAGTTTTGACGTAATGAAGACTGATGAAGAAGTAGCTGATAGGACTCAAAGTGAAATGCTACTAAAATTGCGAGATTTTTGTGAGAAATGCAGGGATTTAACAAGTGATAACTAATTACTAGTAATTGGTTGATTGAATTGTGCATCACCATTGGTTTGAAAGAAAATATTCTGAATATGGACATTAGGAGGTTAGGATATCGAGCTTAAGTAAACGGCAAGTCGCTTTTACCAATTACTTGCCAAAACTTAGCGCACAATATGGGGCATGTTTCAACATTAGACCAAGGCTAATTCATCCAAGTTTCGCAAAACTTTCCTGTTCTTCCGGTTCTTTGTAAGCAAAAATTGCATGAATAAGCCCAAAGTGATATAGATGCGAGCATGGGTGAATATAAAACAGTTACGATATCCGAGCTATATATACTCTAACCCTAATCAGTAGATCGCATACAATGCCATATTTAATTAACAGTTTGTTTAAGTTTTGCATGTTTCATGCTTTACTCCTATAAGATGGTATATCGGCATGGTTCCACATTAGGCTGATTCATGCAAGTTTTTGGTCACAAAAGGCACTTGGCAGTGCCTTTTGTAAGCAAAAATTACATGAATTAGCCCAAAGTCAGGAAGATTTAAGAGTGGATTTATAAAACAGTTCCAATCTTAAAACAATATACCCTAACCCTAATCACTCGATCGAATGCGTTTTGTTGAAGCGAGGGAAAATAGCAGTTTGTTTACATTCTGCATAGCAACGGCAAGGGAAATAACTGCTCATGTGCAATGGCGTGATTCTGGGGACTGGCATACTAGAAACTTCCCGAGTATAGAGATGACCAGTTTGTCAGCGCAACTCCTCATAAACCGCTGCACAGAATTTCATCAAACTTTGCAGATATTTAGCACACTATGTGTAGATGTGCATATTACCAAGAATTCCGATTCCTTTATTTTTTCTGGGAATTTCGGCACTTTTCAACTTAGATTTTTGGCCATATCTTGAATATAGAGATGAACAGTTTGTCAGTGCAACTCCTCTTAAACCTCTGCACAGAATTTCATTCAACTTTGCAGATATTTAGTACACAATGTGTAGATATGCATATTACCAGGAAATTCCGATTCCATTATTTTTCTGGGAATTTCGGCACTTTTCAACTTAGATTTTTGGCCATATCTTGAATACTGTAAACCAACTATTATTTGCGTCAACTTTTATTCGCGATTCGTCGGTTTGAAATCAATCCGCGACAATTAATTTTCGTGACTGGGGAAATATTCTCTCCAAATACAAAGCAAAATAAATGGTGTGTGGCGATAAATATTCGCGAGTTAAAGTGGGTCGCGAAACTCGTGAATATTTCTCGCACGCGAATAAAAGTTGGTTTACAGTATAGAGATGATCAGTTTGTTAGTGCATCTCCTCTTAAACCGCTGCACAGATTTTGGTTAAACTTTGCAGATATTTAGTACACAGTGTGTAGATGTGCAAATTACCAGGAAATTCCAATTATTTTTGCCTTAAGAGTTTTGCCTATTATTGAAGAAACTTTCCAGCTAGGTAATAAGGAAATCCCTAGAATCAGCTTTTGTAATGAAATTTTATGTGAAATATTTTATGACCTTAAAAGACCCCTATTGATTTTGAGATCAAAATATTAATGATTTAACACACACACAAAATTTTGGATAGTTCCCCCCCCCCCCCCCCCCCAAATTGGTGCTTTGCTGTAAGTTATTTCATAAGTACAGTATATAAACAAATTCATATGACTACATCATAATTTTGTTTCCATCAGTTATTTAAATGTGTAAATTGTCATGTGTTGGACATGGACTTACACTCATTAACAAATCGAAATCACTGAGGAATTTAAATAACAGACTCCTGCACTGAATTTCCTGAAACTTTGTAGGTATTTCAGACATAATGTATAGATTTGTATATTACCAAGAAATTTTGATTCCATTATTTATCTAGAAACTTCAGCCCAATTAAATTTGTAACATACAAAGATTTGAATGTCCTTATATGCAAGAAGTTTTGATGTGATGATTTTTTGCAAGTAATGCCAGTTTTTGAATTATACTGTGTATTTAAAATGCACTGTGCCATTCATTACGTGTTGCATTGTCGAGTTTTGGGGGAGCGTGGGTATGTGAGCTTGCTCACTTTTTCTTTCATTTTTATTCTCATGTTCTGTACACTGTGCTATATCTGACACTCTGTCTTTTCTGACACAAAATTTGTCTCCCAGTGCATTTTGGAGTTGACAGGTTTCACTGATACTTAGTGTTTGGTAGGTTGACATTTTAACTATGCATTTACTGTGCTGTTCTCGTACCTTAACTGCACACACTTAGTACATATATTCATTCTTCATCTATCACAGGTTTTGCCTCAGCCTTGTCGATTGTCAGGATAGGAAATACAGAATCTATCCACAAAGATGTCAAAAAGTTTAGTCTATCAGACATCGTACAGGAGGAGGCTACTAAATGTAAGATCCTAAGATCCCGCTCAGGATTAGAGAATGATACATGGATCTTGTCAATTTTATTATTTTAATAACTAATTAATGATAGATAAAAGTCAGTAACTAGAAAGGGATAGAGGGTCATGAGAAAGAAAAGAGTACCTGCTTATTACTTAGTATTGGTACTTAAAAGAAAATTTATTTACCCTGGTACTTTCAAGGACTGAATGTTTTAATTAATATCTTGTATGCTAATTAGTAATAATTGATGTTTCTGTTAATAGTTTGTTTCTTGGCCGTATACTGTCAGGAAGATGTCAGTGTATATGATCAAACTATCAAGGACATTAATTGATATCTTACATGAAAAAATATTGTTAGCATATAAGTCAGTCCGCCTCTAGCATTTATGTAATACTAAGTCAAAATCTCGTATTTGGCTCATATATGTACACGTTTTGTTTAAAAAACAAAAGAATTCATGTGACCAGAATCAGCATTTTTATAATTTATTTATTTTTTTTTTTTCATAAAATAGACCAGGATGTTTTATATGGATGGAACAAAATGTTGAAACTGAATGAATTGGTTAAGCTACTCAGAGAGCCCCTTTGAAATTTTCTTTTAATCATTTTGAACTTTTACAGTGAGAAGAGAAAAGAAACTGGAAAATATCCCTTCAAGTGTTCGAGCAAACTACGATCAAATGAAACAAAAGATGGAGCAACTGAGGAATAAAAGAAACAATAGTAAAGGAAGGGAGGTAAATCATCTTATTGTAATCAGGAGTAAAGAACAGATTGGAGGTAACTGATCCTACTGTAATCAGGAGTAAAGGACAGATTGGGGGCAACTAATCCTACTGTATTCAGGAGTAAAGAAAGAGAGGGGAGGTAACTGGTCTTATTGTAATCAGGAGTAAAGACAGAGAGGGGACTGGTAACTGGTCTAGTAAAGGACAGAGAGGGGAGGTAACTGATCCTACTGTAATCAGGAGTAAAGGGCAGAGAGGGGAGGTTACTGGTCTTATTGAAATCAGGAGTAAAGGCCAGAGATGCAGGACTTTCAAAATCTGCCTGTATCCAATACTTGTACCCGACTGAAATCAGAATTGTACCAGCCAAAAATATTCACTGAAGCAAAAATTTCATGTTTTTAATCAAATTTCTGCTGCCAGGTACCTCCTATTTCTGTAAAAGTACCACCTGTTTCAAATCATTTTTGAAAGCCCTGGAGATGGGAGGTAACTGGTCTTAATGAAATCAGGAACAAAGGACAGAGAGGGGAGGTAACTGGTCTTAATGAAATTGGAAATAAAGGACAGAGAGGGGAAGTAACTGGTCTTAATGAAATCGGGAATAAAGGACAGAGAGGGGAAGTAACTGGTCTTAATGAAATCGGGAATAAAGGACAGAGATGGAAGGTAACTGGTCTTATTGTAATCAGGAGTAAAGCACAGAGATGGAAGTTAACTGGTCTAATGAAATCAGGAGTAAAGGACAGATGGGAGGTATTTGGTCTTAATGAAATTAGGATTAAAGGACAGATGGGAGGTAACTGGTCTTATTGTAATCAGGATTAAAGGACACCTGGGTGGTTTGGGGGGGGGGGGTTATCTTGTCTTATAGAAATCAGGAGTAAAGGTGTATGAAGTAACTGTTCTTGAGGTTTGCTGATATATCTAGTTATTACTGTCTGCCAGGTTTTCTAGTTATTGATATCTGTCAGGATATCTTGTTATTGATGTCTGCCAGGATACCTAGTTATTGATGTCTGCCAGGATTTATAGTAATTGATGTCTATTAGGTAATCTAGTTGTTGATTGTGTGCCAGGATATCTAGTTATTAATGTTTGCCAGGATATCTAGTTATTGATATCAGCCTGGATATCTAGTGATTGATGTCAGCCTGGATATCTATTGATTGATGTCTGCTTGGATACCTAGTTATTGATGTCTGCCAGGATTTATAGCAATTGATGTCTATTAGGTAATCTAGTTACTGATTGTGTGCCAGGATAACAGAATAATGTCTGCTGGGATATCAAGATGTGAATGTCAGCACAGGGGTGTGCAATTAGCATTGCCCGATGCCCAGGGCTACCATTTTTGGGGATTGGGCAAGTGGTTTTCTGCACAGAGGTAGCCTGTCAGGCTAGTAAAAATTAATACTACCCATGTAATACATGAAAAGTACAACAGGTACTTTCCCTCATTTTTTGCTTTTAAATTCCCAATCAATGAAAAATTTCCAGGCAGCATGCTCATAAAGTTTGTAAATCTCCATAATCTTACCCATTTTGCCTTATTACCTGACCTGTTTACTTCCAAAAATGATAGTTTTTTTTTCCTAATCCAAATTTCCTCCATTCCTCTGTTTATAGTAAATACACATAGATATCCCATTAAATTATCTACAATCACCCAATCAACTGAAGGATAAGTGTTATATGATTTACCAAAAAATATATTTCCAGTGTATTTAATGATTTAATATGAAATTTTTTTTTTGCTTCTATTTAGAATTGAGCTAAGACATTTACCAGAAAAAAAGGAAGATAATTTATTTAAATTCATTTCTATCAGAATTATTGAAATATATATGATATAATATTTCTAGTGAGAATTAAACTAATTTTAAAAAGAATGACCTTAAGACCCTGACTTTTTCAACAATATAAACTATTATTCTTTCAATATAAATTGTAACTTTTCCTCATTCATTTGTGGCTAGTAACTTTATACTTGGGGCTAGTGAGTTTATTGCTACCAGTAGCCCATGGGCTAGTGCTTGAATTTTTTAATTGCACGCCCCTGTAGCAGGAATATCTAGTTATCAATGTCTCCCAGGATATCTAGATATTGATGTCTGCCAGCATATCTAGTTGGTGACATCTGCTGGTATATCAAGGTATAGATGTCAACAGGAATATCTAATTGATGTCAGCAAGATATCTAGTTATCGATGTCAGCAGGATATAGGGATGGGTATCAGCAAAAATTTCGTATCGTGATATATCACGATTTTTTCCAAAAATATCACCATAAATCGTGATATTTTATAAACATTATTTTTACTAAAACTTCAAATGAATTTCCATAATATTTGTTAAAAATATGCTATAAAAACATAACTTTATTTTTAAAATTTTTATTCATTTAATATAAAGCATGTTTGGATGCCGTTGTTTAACTGTTTTCAGCATTTTTTTTTACACTTCCTGTAATTGTCATTCAATAGTTTGAACAAATTAATAAATGATTTCCGGAATTTATAGTTATGTACCAAATACCGGTACTTAAGTCTCCGTATCACAATACGTATCACGCAAAAAAAAAAAATCGTGATATACCGGTATACCGATAAAAACGCGCATCCCTAGCAGGATATCTAGTTATTGATGTCTGCTGGGATATCAAGTGTCAGCAGGAATATCTAGTTATTGATGTTTGCTGGGATACCTAGTTATTGATGTGTTAATTATCTTGCTATAGATGTGTGCCAAGATATCTAATTACTGATGTGTGCTGGGATATCAACACATAGATTTCAGTAGGAATATCATGTTATAGATGTTTACAGGGATATCTGATTATTAATGTCTGTCAGGATATTTCGTTATTTATTTTTGCTAGGATATCTAGTTATTGATGTCAGCAAGATTATCTAGTTATTGAAGTCATCAAGGATATTCTAGTTATTGAAGTCATCAAGGATTTCTAGTTATTGAAGTCATCAAGGATATCTAGTTATTGAAGTCATCAAGGATATCTAGTTATTGAAGTCATCAAGGATATCTGGTTATTGAAGTCATCAAGGATATCTAGTTATTGATGTCAGCAATTTTTTTAAGCTCTTGACTCTGCTTATTTATTGACTTTTGCTGCATTTCAACATAGAAGTGTTCCAAACCTATAAAAAAACATTTTCATGATCTTTCAGGTTGAACGTCTGACAGCTGATTTAAGACAACTAGAAAGACGAGTTAAAGAGATGGAAAAAGATCACTTTCAGCAGATCCAGGTAAGAGTTTTATAATGAAGGCATTTGATATTTATTCACAGGTAGTTATTACATGCTCAAATAATGGTCCCAGACTAGAGCAAGGTTGTAAGAGGGGGGTCAAACTTTAACATTGGAACACACAGAAAAAATCGTTTGTCTTCTCAAGAAAATAGGACCATAAAGAATTGTGGGATTCTCATGTTCAAATCATGTTCCCTAGATTTAAAACTGGAGTCAATAGGGGATCAAAGTTTTGCACTGAAATAAACAAAATTCTGCAAAAAATACATATCATATCTGTTTAGTGTAATTTTAAATTATTTTAAATTATTGAAATCATGGAATTTATGTTGATGGCTACAATATGGGGCTTGCAGTTATCTACATATTTATCAATTGGGACAAGAGTAGGAACTAAGGTGAGCATTATGGCTCATAGGCCTTTTAATTCATTTTTAGCTGGGTTTTCTGCAAGAAAAAAACCATTATTATAGCTGGGGCATTTAGTGTTTGTCATGTCATGTGTTTGTCATGTCCATCTTTCATCCTTCTATCTGTCCTTTCATCACACTGTATTTAGCTCAGTTAAAGAAACTAATCAAGATAATTTTATCAAACTTCATATGCTGATACATATTGATGAGAGCTATTCAAATGCTGCAACATTTTTTTTTACCTTGCCCTTCTCTTTGACCTTGACCTCACTTTTCAAAAATTGTTAAGCTCAGTTTCAAAGAAACTATTCAAGATATTTTTTATCAAATCTTATGTGTTGAAACGTATTGATGAGAGCTATTCAACTGCATCAACATTTTTTTACCTTGACATTTCCTTTGACCCTGACTTCACTTTCAAAAATTTGTGTTTAACTAAGTTTGAAAGATTTATTCAAGATATTTTTATTAAACCTTATTTGTTGATACATATTAAAGAAAGCTATTCAACCACATCAGTATTTTTTTTTTACCTTGCCTTTCCTTTGACCTTGACCTTACTACCTTACTTTTCAAAATAAATTGTTTAGTTCAGTTTCAAAGAAACTATTCAAGATATTTTTATCAAACCTTATTTGCTGATATATATATTGGTGAGAGCTATTCAACTTCATCAACATTTTTTGACCTTGACCTTTCCTTTTACCTTGACCTCACTTTTTAAAAATTTGTGTTTAGCTACATTTCAAAGAAACTATTTAAGATGTTTTCATCAAATCTTATTTGCTGATTATTGGGGAGAGCCATTTAACTTTATCAACATTATTTACCTTGACCTCTCCTTTGACTTTTACCTCACTTTTCTTCAGTTTGTGTTTAAGTTTCAAAGACTCTATTCAAGATATTTTTATCAAACTTCATATGCTTATATATATATTGATGAAAGCTATTCATTTGCATCAACATTTTTGTCCCTGACCTTTCTTTTGACCTTGACTTCACTTTTCTCAAATTTATGTGTAGCTCAGTTTTAAGAAACAGTATACACCTATTTAGTGGCTATGAGGACAATAGCAATTACAAAACAGCAGTGGGATTGGTATTTTTCCAAGAATATCTGTTTTTTAGCATTGTTATTTTTTTGGACAGGATATTTCCCTCACTAGAGCGGAGGAACTCAGCTTAAAACAGAAGATACTACAGTCAGCTACAATAGTTTGTGGAACACTCTCAGCATTTGGACAGTATTTTATCTTTGATTTACTGAGTCATCGGAAACGTGAAGGAAAACCAATGTTTGACTGTGTTATTGTAGACGAAGTAAGAACCAATTAGTTCTCTTTAACATTAATTGTGTAAAATACCTGCAGATCTATATTTATAATCATTTGATTAACATAGTTGTTTAGTCCCAAATCGTATATAATTTTTAACTTATAAAGGGAAAGAGTAGCAATTAATACTTGACTCAAAGAGTTCTAATGAACTATGTGCTTGGCCTTGACTTGTTTTTGGGTTACAAGTGTTTTCATCACATAAATAGGATAAATTAGGTGAGCAATATGGCTCATGGGCCTCTTGTTCTAATTATAGGCTTCACAAGCTAATGAGCTGGACTGCATAATACCACTGCAGTATGAAGTAAACAAGTTTATTTTGGTAGGGGATCCAGAGCAACTTCCTCCCACAGTTACATCAAGTGTGAGTACTATTTTGTAAATTTGTCATTACATCCAATGTTACATCAAGTGTGAGTATTGTTTTGTAATTTGTCATTATATCCAATGTTACATCAAGTGTGAGTACTGTTTTGTAAATTTGTCATTACATCCAATGTTACATCAAGTGTGAGTACTGTTTTGTAATTTGTCATTACATCCAATGTTAGTTACATTTGTATCTGTCATTACATTCAGTCTAATTCATTTTGTTCTGTTATTCATTACATTCCAATTGATGTTTGTGTTTGTGAGTGATGTTTCTGATGTTACATTTCATGTGAGTGATATTTTTTGTTTGCTGTTACATTTGTACTGAGGGTTTTTTTTGGCAGTTAGTTCTTGATAAAATTTGGTGTTTCACAAAGAAAACATGTATGATATAATAGATACTTTTTATCAGGTTATCGATAGTTTCTTACAAATTCTATTAGCACTTGGATTGTTTGTACATGATTAGACAATGCTTTTGGTGATGTGCTATGGCATGATTAAACAAAATTTGTGGTGATGTGGTATGGTACGATTAGACACAGTGATTTTTCTATACCCAATTTAGGTCCGAATATTGGTCCTTTCCCCTCTCAAAAATTACTGATTTTTTCCCAATTTCTGTTGCTTTTTTTTCCCAAAACAAAACTGATGTTGTTTTTGTTATATTGATTTTTTTTTTATGTACGACTTATCTAAAATGGAACGCTATTGTTCTCGGTCATTCAGACTCTTAAAATAATAGTAAGGAACAGCAGATTACTTTGTGCGTTTACAAGACTTAGAAAAACACATGGTCATGTCAAACTTGTGTTAATACATCGTAAGAAAGTGTAATGTGCATGTGAACTGGCGAAACAGAGCTTTATTTGTATTAAGTACATGTACTAGTAACTCTACAATAAGCATCCCTGATTCCACGAAAATCAAATTGTTTCTACATCTGGCAGATACAGCTAGTATTGCAGAGAAATGGCAGCAATATGATTAGCTAGGGTAATTACCTGTGGTAATGTTGTATGGTATGATTAGACAATACTTGTGGTGTGCTATGGTATGCTGTCCTTGTACTTAACTGTAACTGTGTTTTGTTGTAGAAAGCTGCAAGGAACTACTTTGGTCAATCACTGTTTGAGAGGTTTTACCGTCATTTCCAGTCAAGTAAAGAAGACCCCAGTCCTATCTTGATGTTGGACACCCAATATCGCATGCATCCTGACATAGCTTACTGGCCATCCCAGTACATATATCAAGGAAAACTCAAAACTGACAGGTAATTTTACCACATAATATCTGGCATTAAAGCAGCATTATCATTAATAAGATCTCAAGATAACAACTATGTGTATTTCTCATGTAAATCGATTCAATGCTTTCCTTTGAAAAAAAATCTGAATGCTTCTGGTTTTGATGATTTAAATTTTTTTTCTTCATTCTCTTTTTTTCTTTTTTTTAAAAAAACTTTTCAATATTAAGCTCATCATCACCTTATTGAATAAGATTTATGTTTTATTTTACTGTGTTATAACAATCAATTATATAATTTTTATTCTGAAGACATACCTTTTACTTATTTTTAGCTCTTCTGAGCCAAAGGCTCAAAGAGCTAATGCTATGGCCATTTGTGCGGTGTGCGTAAACTTTTTAGAATATGGGCCATATCTCAAGAACCCCTTGGTCAATTATTGTCAAATTTGTCACAGGGTATCCTTGGCCCAAGGGCTCCCTTTTATACTAAAACTGGGGTTGTGACCCTTTAACAAGGGGAGATAATTAGGAAAATAGAAACAAAAGTACTGGTTGCTAAAAAATCTTCTTCTCTAGAACCACTGGGCAGATTATCACCAAACTTACACAAAAGGATGAGGATATGTTGTAGATTAAAATTTGCACAGGGATTTACCCTGGGGCAAAGGGCGTGGTCTCAAGGTCACTTCAAAGTTGACCAAAAATTACATTTTATTAAAATGTTGATATTTTGCTTACTATAAGGACTAGGATCATTAAATCTTGTCAGTTGGTGCATCTAAGGACCTCATATCATGTTGACTCAAAAGTAGGTCACTGTGACCTACTTTTTAAATTTTGCGGCCATTCTTTTTCAAAATGATTTAGAGGCATATTTTGAACAATTTAAGGCCTATGATCATCAAACTTTGTCAGTTGATGCATCTTGGGTCCTCAAAGTACGTCAACTGGAAAGTAGGTCACCTTGACCTACTTTTTGAATTTTATGGCTACTCTTTTTTAAAACAATTAAGGTCATTAATTCGAATACGGGGAGGCTTAGAATCATTAAATCTTGTAAGATGATGCATCTTGGGGCCATAAAACTTATTTATTAAAAAGTAGGTCACAGTGACCTACTTTTTGAATTTGCAGGCATTCGATTTCAAAGCGTTTTAGAGGCATAATTTGGACATTTAAAGTCCTATGATCATAAAACTTTGTAAGTTGATGCATCTTGGATCCTCAAAAAAGGTCAACTGAAAAGTAGGTCACCATGACCTACTTTTCAATTTATATGACTATAATTAAATATTTCAGGTACTAATTGGCTTAGAATCATCAAACTTTGTCAGTTGATGCATCTTGGGTCTTCGGAGTAGGTCGACTAAAAAGTAGGTCACAGTGACCTACTTTTGAAAATTTATGGCTGTAATTAAATATTTTGGGTACTTATTGGCTTAGAATCATCAAACTTTGTCAGTCGATGTATCTTTGGTCCTTGGAGTACAGCAACTGAAAAGTAGGTCACGGTGACCTACTTTTTTTTTTTTTTTGAAAATTTATGGCTTTAATTAAATATTACAGGTACTAATTGGCTTAGAATCATCAAACTTTGTCAGTTGATGCATCTTGGGTCCTTGGAGTAAAACAATTGAAAAGTAGGTCACTTTGACCTACTTATAAAATTTTATGGCTATAATTTTAAAAAATATGTTAGGTATTTATTGGCTTAGAATCATCAAACTTAGTTGATGGGTCCTCAGAGAATGACAAGTGATAAGTAGGTCACCATGACCAACTCTCAGGTACTAATTGGCTTAGAATCATCTTGGGTTCTCAGAGTGTGAATTGGAATTTCAAGGGTTTATCTAAATATACAGGATACTTCGAGGCTTCAAATAGAAGTGATAGGTTGTACAGTTTATCAGAAGAGCGATTCAAGGCCCATGGGCCTCTTGTTTGCATTTGTATTCTGAGTCACTTCCCTATGTTATTGAATTTTCATTTTATGACAGGGAAGCTGACAATATAGTTCTACGTAATGCCATGGTTCAATTTAGTTTTTCTTTATTTTCTTTAGGTCTTTGAGGCAACGCTATAAGGAAAACAGTAGACTGAAGCCATTTGTTCTGTTTGATGTTGAGGACAGCCTTGAACACCTCTCTCAAACCACAGGGTGGGTACTTACATGTATTCCCTCTCTCAAACCACAGGGTGGGTACTTATTCCCTCTCTCAAACCACAGGGTGGGTACTCATTCCCCCTCTCAAACCACAGGGTAGGTACTCATTCCCCCTCTTAAACCACAGGGTAGGTACTCATTCCCCCTCTCAAACTACAGGGTAGGTACTCATTCCCTCTCAAACCACAGGGTAGGTACTCATTCCCTCTTTCAAACCACAGGGTAGGTACTAATTGCCTCTCTTAAACCAGAAGACAGAAACTCATCTCCTTAGACCACGGAGCGGGTACTCATTCTTCTCTCAAACAACAGGGTAGGTACTCATTCCCTCTCGTAAACCACAAGACAGAAATTCCCTTAGACCACAGGGTGGGTACTCAATTCTCTCTCAAACAACAGGGTAGGTATTCATTTCCTCTCGTAAACCACAAGACAGAAACTTATTCCCTTAGACCACAGGGTGGGTACTCATTCTTTTTTCAAACCACAGGGTACATATAGGTACTCATTCTCCCTCTCTCAAACCACAACTAACATACTCCCCCCTTTTCAAACCCAAGGATGGGTATTCATTCCCTCTCTCAAAACACAAGGTAGATAAGGACTCAATCTCTCTTTGAAACCACAGTAAAAGTATTCATACCAACTCTCAAACCACAGGGTAGGTACTCATTCCCTCTCTCAAACCACAAGGTAGGTTCTCATTCTCCCTCTCTCAAACCACAAGGTACATACCCCCCTCCTTTTCAAACCCAAAGGTGGGTATTTATTCCCTCTCTCAAATCACAAGGTTAGATAGCACTCATTCTCTCTTTGAAACCACAGGGAAAGTATTCATTCCAACTCTCAAACCACAGAGTGAGTACTCATTTCCCCTTTCACAAACCACAGGGTGGGTACTCATTCCCCCTTTCACAAACCACAGGGTATGTACTCATTCCCCCTTTCATAAACCACATTGAAGGTACCTATACTCCCCTCCCAGACCACAGGGTAGGTACTCATACCCCTTTTAATTCACAGTGTAGGTGCTCATCCCCCTCTCAAACCACAGGGTAGGTACTCATATCCTCCTCAAACCAAAGGATGGGTACTCATCTCCCTCTCAAGCCAAAGGATAGGGACTCTTCCCCCTCTTAAACTATAGGGTAGGTACTCATTCTCCCTCAAGCTACAAGGTAGGTACTCAATCCCCCTCTCAAACCAAAGGGTAGGTATTCACCCCTTTCTAAATCCACAGGATAGGTACTCATCCCCCTTTCAGTTCACAGGGTAGGTAGTTATTCCCCTTTGAAACCGAAGGGTAGGTTTTTACACCCCCCTCTCAAACCACAAGGGAGGTTTTCATCCCTCCCTCTTAAACCAAAGGGTAAGTACTCATACATCCCCCCACAACCCCCCCCTCCTTCAAACCACAGGGTAGGAGTATTCATTCTCTCTCTCTCAAACCATATGGATAACAAGTAAATTGAACAATTTTGAAGAAACTTAGTTTTAGTCAGAATGGTTTCTTTACTCTCGCTATCTTATAATGGAGTATATTGTTTATGACACTCTTTGTGAAGGGTCGAATGAAAATTGAAAGTTTGCCACACTTCTGATATTCTCTCAGTAAAAAAATATTACATTTGATTTTTTTCACTGAGAAAAAAAATCACACTTGTATTCAATGGATAAATTAAAGTATATCACTGTTGAAAATGAAATAAATGTTTAGTATTGATTTTGCAGTATGCAATATCTACAAAAAAAATTTCAAACTGATTTACCAGGTAGACTTTGTCCAGGAAATAAAAAAAAAACATCTACAGAACTGAAAAGACAGATGTGAGATTTGATTGTTTTACAATTGTCAGAATTTGCTTTTACTATTGTTCCTGAATGTATTGTAACTGACTGTTTAATGTGTTTGCAATCAGGTCTGTGAACAATCCAACAGAGGTAGAGTTTATTGTTCAGTTGTCTCTGGTCATTCTGAAGTCTACAAGACCACAGAATATAGGGATCATCGCTCCCTATAAAAGTCAGAAGCGCCTGCTGTTCTCCAGTCTAAGCCAGAAGTAAGTCAGACAACATTATACACTCAGACATTGTTAGATCCTGTAAAGTTGAGGAATCACATGTTTAATCTTTATTACAGTGGAGTAAGAGACATAGAAATAAGTACTGTAGATGGATTCCAGGGACGAGAAAAAGAGGTCATCATATTCTCTTGTGTCAGAGCAAAAAGCCAGTCTGGATCTATTGGGTAGTTATGATTAAATCTGCTCCAAGAGTCAGATTTTAAAAGTTATAGTGTTTTTTTTTTTTTTAATAAGAAGAAATTCACAATAACTGTAACTATGAATTGCATTTTAATATTGGCTGGTAGGGAACATTGAAGGTAAGATGTTATTGATATGGTAAATATTCAGATATTATCAATGAGGATTATATGTTTTATTATAATAGTTTTATGGCAGACAGAAAGAGGATGAATGTGGCTCTAACTCGTGCCAAGTCTGCACTGTACATTGTTGCTCATCTGGATTCATTACAAGTAAGAGATGCATTTTAAGTCTGCACTGTACTTTTGTGGCTCATCTGGATTTATTACAAGTAAGAGATGTACTTTAAGTCTGCACTGTACATAGTTGCTCATCTGGATTCATTACAAGTAAGAGATGCACTTTAAGTCTTCACTGTACATAGTGGCTTATTAAAAACAAGCATTCTGAGAGTATTGCATCAGCAATACTAGTCCCCAACCGGCAAGTGTAATCTGGTTCCCATTTAAAATTAAAAATGCCATAATTCCATCAAAAATCAATGAAGCGGAATGAAATGCAAACTTGATCTATAACCAATTGATTTTAAGTCACATACCAAAAATCAGCTCAATATCTGCAAGCGTTTAGAAGAAAATTGCGGAAAACCCTTAAACATTGAAAAGGCCGTAATTCTGTCAAAAATCAATGAAGCAGAACGAAATACAAACTTGATCTGTAAATCATCAAGAAACACATACCAAAAATCAGCCCAATATCTGCAAGTGGTTAGGAAAAAAGTGTGGAAAACCAAGACAGACAGACGGACAGACTCAGAGGAAACCTATAGTCCCCTTTGGTTTCACCGGTAGGGGACTAATAAAGAATTAAGAATCAGGGACCAGAAGAGCTTATGCAATAGTGTGTCTGTCCTCCATCCATCTGTCTGTTCTTTTGTAAAGATTTTTTTAAAATACTACTCCTCCTACAGTTTTGATTCAATTTCAATAGAACTTTGTACACAAGTAGATTAAACTAAGAAACATAATCTTATGAATAATTTTTTTTAATTTGATAAGACAGGTGTTGCCATAGTTACTAAAAATAGAATTTTTATAAAATTCTTTCAAAATGTTACTCCTCCTATAATTTTGGTCTTATTTTAATATGACTTGGTACACAAATAGACTACACTACGATACAGAATCATATGTATAGTTTTTTGATTCAATGATTGTTGTTTCCATGGTTATATAGAATATAATTTTTTCTAATTTTTTTTAAATGCCACTTCTTCAACAGTTTTGGTTTGATTCAAATAAAACTTTCTACACAAGTAGACTAGAGGAACACACATAATTGTTTTTATCAGTTTTTTATTTCAATGAACAATGTTGCCATGTTTACTAAAAATATAAATTTCAATGAAATTCTTTCAAAATGCTACCCTTCTAAAAGTTTTGTTCTGATTTAATAAATCTTTCTACACCATTAGACTACACTAAGATGCATAATTCTATGTATCAGATTTTGATTTTGATGACTGGTATTGCCATGGTTACTAAAAAATTTTTTTTTGTGAAATACTTTCAAAACACTACTCTTCCTACAGTTTTGTTCTGATTTCAGTAAAACTCTTTACACAAGTAGACTACACTGAGATACATAATTCTTCTGATGAAAGGTGTTGCAGTGGTCACTAAAAAAAGAAATTTCTTTAAAAAGTTTCCTCCTCCTACAGATAAAGTCAGATTGCTACACAAATAGACTAAACCAATGGATCATTTTTGTGTTTACTGCTGTTGTCATAGCTAAAAGTCCAAATGCTACCATTTACCTGCCTTTGCTATTAGTACAAACCAGTAGAGCTACAGTCTCATCAGAGATTTCTGGTTTGATATTATGGACTGATGCTGATTGGACATTAGACTCTGTACATGTATATGATGTTTGTTTGATATTGTACACTGATGCTGATTGGACATTAGACTCTGCATGTGATGTTTGTTTGATATTGTAGACTGGTGCTGATTGGACATTAGACTCTGTACATGTATGTGATGTTTGTTTGATATTGTAGTGCTGATTGGACATTAGACTCTGTATATGATGTTTGTTTGATATTGTAGACTGATGCTGATTGGACATTAGACTCTATGTGATGTTTGTTTGATATTGTAGACTGATGCTGATTGGACATTAGACTCTGTATATGATGTTTGTTTGATATTGTAGACTGACACTGATTGGACATTAGACTCTGTATGTGATGTTTGTTTGATATTGTAGACTGATGCTGATTGGACATTAGACTCTGTATATGATGTTTGTTTGATATTGTAGACTGATGCTTATTGGACATTAGACTCTGTACATGTATATGATGTTTGTATGATATTGTACACTGATGCTGATTGGACATTAGACTCTGTATATGATGTTTGTTTGATATTGTAGACTGATGCTGATTGGACATTAGACTCTGTACATGTATATGGTGTTTGTTTGATATTGCAGACTGATGCTGATTGGACATTAGACTCTGTACATGTATATGGTGTTTGTTTGATATTGTACACTGATGCTGATTGGACATTAGACTCTGTATATGATGTTTGTTTGGTATTGTAGACTGATGCTGATTGGACATTAGACTCTGTACATGTATATGATGTTTGTTTGATATTGTAGACTGTTGCTGATTGGAAGAATCTGATTGGAGATGCCACACGAAGAAATTTAATTTATTCCGTGGCCAGCGGGAAAGACTTCACCGAAGCTGCTAAGAATATTTTAATTCAGAAATAAGGTATGTTTTATATTTCTGACTTTTCAAATGGCTTCTGATTACACGTAAAAGAAAGCCATGATTGATAAATAATAAACATAGACTGATGTCACGAAAGATAAAATTTTTGAGAGGAAAATATCCAGATCTAGCTTTTGATGTTACCATAAATGAAAAGTGGACTTTAATTTTTCTTAAACAAGGATTGGACTATGGTGTTTTCGTCAATGAGGAGTGGACTTTGATGCTGCATAAATTGAGGAGAAATCTTTGAAGTTGTCTTATATGAGGAGTGGAACATCAGCATGTTGTTGGACATTTCCGTCAAAGTCAAATTAATTAAGATATCAGTAAATTTCATATGCAGTTGCCCCGTCATAAATATGGCCCTGGCATTTAGTGTTTGTCATGCCCAACTTCCGTCCTTCTGTCAAACTTTGCGTTTAGCTCAGTTTCTAAGAAACTAATCAAGATATTTTTATCAAACTTCAAACACTGATACATATTGATGAGAATTATTCAAATTATGCATCAACAATTTTTGACCTTGAGTTTTCCTTTGACTTCACTTTTCTTAAATTTGCATTTAGTTCAGTTTCAAAGAAACTATTCAAAAAATTTTTATCAAATCAAACCTTAAGTGCTGATACATATTGATGAGAGCTATTCAACTGCATCAACATTTTTTGACCTTGACCTTTCCTTTGACCTTACTTTCTTAAATTTGCATTTAGCTCAGTTTATTTAAGATCATTTTATGAAAGCTTATGCACTGATACATATTTTGGCGAGAATTCATGTCCAGTTTTTTTTTTTTTTTTTTACCTTGACCTTCCTGATGACTCTTGACTTTACTATTTATTTTGTATTAAACTTTGTTTTAAAGAAAGCATTCCAAGATATTTTCACCAAACTTCATACACATATACAAATTTTCATGTTGCATTACTAATGAACCATGGACGGGGCCATTCATGTCCTATGAACATATTTGTAGTTTTTCCTGTGGTCTTCAAATTTAACCAATTGCTATAAACTAGTACTAAAATATATGGTATTAATTCATTATGTAGAATTTTGTATCAAAACAGATCATTTGCTTTTTTTGTGTAGTTACGTACATCTGATCATAGTTCAAAATACTTCGTGTTCAAGTTTTGTTTCGTTTTTTGACGAGCATAAACAAATGAACAGTTAGACTTCCAAATAGTGTTCATGTATATACTTACTGTATGTGTTCATATTGAATTACTTAAATATGAATGGGTTGTCATTTTTTACTGAATTATTTAAAGGCTGTGCCAAAATCAAATAAGTTGTAAAAAATGCATTTAATTTATACAGGTACATTGTATATACTTACACATGTAAAAACAAATTATAAGTTGGTTGTCAGTTTTACTTGAGCATTTATTTTTACAAAGGAAATATTGATGCTTCAGTCCCTGGTTTTTTTTGTCATTTTTATTTTTTTATCAATCAGATTAAAGATTTTCAGCACAAAATTGATGGCTGTATAAATTTTGATGTCCAGGTCACAGGGGCTTGCTCCTGGCTTGTAAAAAGTATTTAATAAAAACATATATACGATATACTAAAACAACATAGTATTGTTTAAGTATATCATATGTTTTTTTTTTAATTTAATATTTTTTACACACCAGGAGCAAGCCCCTGTGGTCCAGGTGTTACTGGGAATCAACTTGTGATATAAAGGACTTAATAAAAGACTTAAGTACTGTAGACTTGTTATCTGTGAATAGTAAGAGATGAGGAAGATTTACAATGTAGATAAGATCACTGGGTTTTCTACAGTATTTGTTGCTTATTTCTTTACATTTAGCTTTCTTCAAACCAATGGCTTGTTATGCTAGTGAAATATTGATGTAACCAATATAACATGGTGAACAGTTTTAACTATCAACTCCATAAACTCTGCATAGGTTCATTTCTTGAAATAACGGAGCATCTTCAAGAAATAAAGACTTGGAGGGGTTTTGCAATTGGGAATGAGGCTTATATTCGGCGCTACAAAGGGCAGTGGAAAATCCCTGGAAAATTTTACATTTGTAACATTAAATCCCTCTTCATTCAGCAATTTTTGTTTTTTGCCTAATGAGGTCAGTAGCCTTTATATATACACTAGACAAAATTGCTAACGCACCACTTATTCTTATTTGTGAAATGATCATTTTCCTGATTGGTACTAGTATATAAAATATGCCATTTTTTCCAAAACAGTTGGATTGACAAATGACTTGCTGTCATGTCAAGACCCTTAAAGGACCTTCTTGTCCAAAAACCAATTTCCCGACGTGCACTGCGCACCGTTTTTGCCAAGATATGAAGTTGGTGATTACCAATGGTGGTCCGTGACGTTGCGACGGGAGCAGTCTCCCACTTAAAAATCAAATGATATACCCTGATTGACTACCATATCGCTTGTAGTCATCCAGTGCCTTGGTGTCCCTATCAAATCCACCCAACTTCCGGTCGCCCCAATTTTGTGGAACAATCTTGAAATTATTGTGTGGTGCTCACTCAATGCCGTCGATATCTATTGTAAACATTTTTATGATCGTTAATTCATTTTCAACAATTTTTCACCAGAGAAATTCATAATCATTTATTCTTTTAATTTTTCACAAATTTCCTCAAAGGACCCCCCTGCAGACACCATACTGGCTGCCTAAACACGCTCTTCTAGAGTCAAACGCCGCATACGGTGTAACTTTTTTTCTGAGTTTTTAATTAGTACAAGCATAAAGAACACAACCACAAAGAAAAAATTAGAAATTTATTCCACCAAAAAATTTTGGATATGATTTTATTTTTTTCTTTGAAGTGGTTACGCTTCAGTAAACATTATTATTTATCAGTTAAAGCATTTAAATGTCTCATTTTTTATTAAAGTAATATAATTATATATCAAAAACATCATAAACAAGTTTTGAAAAGAAAAATGTTAATTTATTTAGGTGGTGCGTTAGCAATTTTGTCTAGTGTGTATATATATATATATATATATATATATATATATATATATATATATATATATATATATATATATATATATATATATATATATATATATATATATATATATATATATATATATATATATAAAGCACTAAAAACCAACAACACTGTATATCCTAAGTGTCGGATCTACTAAGTAGATACAAGGTCACGGATGGAAATTTATATAAAGCACTAAAAATGACCAACGACACGAACAATAATAATTGTCAATTATTACTGTTCGTGTCGTTGGTCATTTTTAGTGCTTTATATATATATATATGGTTTTGTAACAACCATTATATCTTTAAGACTGTGAATACCTACCGTTATTCATTCCTTTAACACAACATGAGATCCATATGCCTTGCCCTGTATCGTATCACTTGTATGTAATTTGTTCAGCATTTCATCACTTAAAATCTCTTTTTATAAAAGTTGTAAACCATGTGTGTAAAAACTTTTAAATGAAGATTGATACATCCCTTATAGTGTCCAATATAACAAAAAACATTTCATTTATACATGTACATAATCCCCACCCCCCTTTAAGAATATACTCCCGAAATGCTAAAATCTAAAGCCTTTCTCATATCAGAGCCACTTTGGTAAATAACAAAGTTGTTTATGTCTTCTCAGCATATGCATTTAAAAGTCACAAACCTTTATCATATATATAAAAAAAATTTATTCAACAAAAATTCACTACAATAAAGTATTGGTGTGTCTTCATCACTGGACATGACAGTAGTACCACTACATGTTCAAATATGTAGAATTAATGAAAACTTAGGAAGTTCATTTCTTGAACAAAATTGTTTCTCTGACACTAAAGTTTTCCACCCTGTTTCATCAAACAATGTTTTATACATTCAAACTGTTGAACTTCAGTGATATTGTCACATGTAAATACTTACATATTTTTAGCAAAAAACAAATAAAAAACCAATGAAAAACATATAAAGTGGCTGGTCAGAGGATTTTAGGATGACATGTATTTAAACACTTGTTTCTTTTTTTTTTACACAGATTTTAAAAGAAACAAGTACAGCAGTAAATGTATTAAAAAACCTGCAATCTTATGTGGGGTTATATTTATAAGTTACGTGTTAACTATATACACCTGAAAACTCTTATGCTTCAATATTTATTAGCAAACTATACAAAAGTTGAAAAAATGTACAAAAATGTCAATTCATACTAACAAACACTAAGAAATGCTTAGAATTTGGGGTTTGTCTTTATAATATCTTTGAAAAATAAATACTCTATTTTTTTTTTCTAATTTCCAATGAAATAATTCTATTTTTCAGTGTCAGAGCAATTCATTCACAGAATAAACAACCTGTCCATTACTGAGATAGAGCGAATCATGAGGCTGAAATGAAACACAACATACAACAATTCTCTGGCTCTCTCATGCTTCCTATTCAATCATCTCTCATTCTCTCTCACACACACTTATAACCCGTGTTTTCCCTAAATAAGTCCTTTCATTTTCTTGTACTCTGCGAGATTGAGGGAGCGTTTGGGGGCTGCCTCCTTTACTGGTTGTAGGCTCCTACTGTTGGCAGCCACTGCTGGATCTGAAAAAAGAAACAACTGCTTCAGCAACTGACTCCTGGAAATTGACAAAGGCTGGCTGAACTTTTCTGATACTTTAAAATAGCACAATTGTACTACTTCAAACAATCCTACAAAAGTATATGAATTTGAACTGAACAGAGGTAAGCACTGGTATCACTTGTGAGCGAATTTAAATAATGGCCTTCACATGAGTCAATTAAGCATAAATTGCAGGTGTGATGTAGCTTTCAAATCATGCATCAGTCTGCATCCATATATACATACTTGGTTTGAACATCACTCCTGTTGAATATGAACATATCTAAATGCTGACATTGAGACTACAGAAAATGTGGATTGTCAGACATGAATACTAATTCCCGTATACCCTCTTACTTTGCTAAATGGGTATAATCGTCAATTCCTTTAAGTGGTACAATAAATTCATTTGTAGCCACACTAGAGCCCCAGATCTCACAAATGACAATCAGAGCTACATATTGGTCCTAATACTCACTGGTAGCAGGGACATCCAGATCAATTTCAATGTTAAAATCATGGACAGCAAACAAGTCCTCTGAGGACTTCCGCCGGTCTGGTTTTTCTAGCCCTGTTCCAGATAAATGGATGTGAAACTGGTTTTGATCACTGGTCTCTCTCTCTTTGTTAGCAATCTCCTCCTGTGCATAACCACAGAACCATTAAAATTTACTACTGACAAGGATGACATGAAAAATGTAAATGTTAGCAAAAAATTTGTAAATGTTCACAAAAAAATTGTTGAATGTTCACAAAAAATCCTTAAATGTTCTCAAAAAATTAGAATTTTAGAAACAAATCCAACCAACAGATAATTTACAAGTCAAATATGAACATCCTATCTTTTCTCATTCAAAAGTTTATTACAATTTTAAAATTTTTTAAGAATAGGTCAAACTTTAAGATAAGGTCGTGGGTCAAAAAATAACTATATATTTGGAAAGGTCTTGTCACAGGTAATGTACATGTGAAATATGAAAGCCACATCTTTTTTTCATTCAAAAGTTATGGTCAAGGTTGAAGTTTTGCTACAGACTGACAGACAGATGAATGAGGTTTAATGTCTTCTCCCTTTCATGAAAGAGGGGATGGATATATTTGGTGATTCTTAGATACTTCCCAACTCTGCTTGCCAGGATTGGGGTGGGGTGGGAGGGTAATCCACTGTCTACTCTTGGTGCTAGAGATAAGGAAATTACCAGAGATTTCCTACGTGAGGCCTCTTCAAGTTTTCTTCTTTCTGCCATCCTTTCTTGTACTTTAGCCTCCAATTCTGGATCACGGGCCTGAAAAAATGTTTAATCATTACTATATAAAATTTACTTACACCCAATATCTGGTCAGTGGAATCAAATGGATACAAAAATTGTGATGGTAGCTTTGACAATTTTAATTTCACAAGTAAGATGAATTTAATTAATAACTTTACAGTAAACAATATACAATTCTGAAATGTTTTGTCCTTTGGCTTCAATGTCAGTCAGTATACTTTAAAAGTTGGTCAACTTGCTGGCCATACTCAAACGAAGATTGTCGGTACATACTGTACACTATTAAGATGCTTGAAATTGAACTGTTTATGAAACCATTGAAAAGTCATATCAAGTATTCTAGATCCCAGAAGCACAATACAATTTCATGATAACAATTATAAAATTTACTGAAACTATGGTACTATTGGGAAACAGATTACTGAGTTTACAGCCACTAGGAAAAAAAGTTCACATGTATAGAATCCTGGAAAAGAAAAGGCACCTGAATAGCAAACAACTCTTTTCCAATTGGTAATAGATTGTAAAATTTTCTAAATGTTCAAAATTGCAATTCTTTTTTAGCAATGATGAAAAAGACTTTAAAAAATAGCATGCAGAACAGGAGAAACATAAAAACTAAACAAGAACTTGAATGAATAAATAATACAGCTTTATTCAATATTCTCCTTTATCTCATTGAACTATGAACTAATAGATTG